GAGGCAGCTATTACGAATCCGTGAATGAATGAATGAACGAACGAATGAATGAATGAAAAACAGGTGTGGGGACGCGGCAGTGTAAAAAACAAACTAACGCCCCCCATCCCCCAATCCCTCGGTTGGGCCGGCCCCCGTCGCCAGGGCGGGGGAAGGGATTCTGCTGAGCGCGGCTACCCAGAGCAGAAAATCATAAAATCATTAGTGGGTGTTTATCTCAAGGTGCCTGCGAGGATTGCGGACGGCGCGGGAGGCTGGGGGAGGGCAGAAGAGGGGGCTGCGGGTGAGGGTCGCTGTGGTTCTTTCTCTTCGGGGTCCGGGAAGGTGGAGGGGGGGTGTTTTGCCGAACCGTGAAAGGGGGAGGAGCAGGCGTGTTTATGGCTCTGCCTTGAGGCTGGGCTTGGATGCTGCAGGGGGAAAAATAGTTGAAGGCCTTGGAGGTTGGAGAAAAAAAACCAAGTTGGATTTTTCCCAATGCCGGGTCAGAGTCTGATTTTGTTAGTCCCGAGTGGGTACTTGGATTAGGGTGTTTTATTTGTTTGTTTTTAAGGAGCGGGAGACCAGTGGAGTGTGAGTGTGAGCTAGCCGCTGTAACTTAAATTCCTTGTTTGTCCACCATTGTGACTGTTTAAAGGGATGAAGTTGTTGCTGGTTGGGTTTTTTGGGGGTTGAGGCAGAGGTGTTCCTCCTTTGCAAAATGAATGAATAAAGTACAGGTCAAGGTTAATGTTAAAATGATGGGCCCCTAGGCTGCCCCCTTGGGCGCTGAGCTCAGGGAGCTCCGGGGATGTGAGGAAATAATTCATTCAGAGCCTCTTATCTGCCTGTTAAAGTTCTTGCCTGGAAATCTCACTTTGATGTGTGTATCTGAGAGGGCAGCTCAGTCCCGCCATTGTTTGCGAGATGGAGTGAGAGCTAGTGGCATCTTGTTTACTTTCTTCTCCGGCTGCTCGGTGGGGTATGGAGGGTTGAAATCCTCACCTTCTCAGGGCCAGGGCTCCTTTGATTGCAAAGGTAATTATTAAACAGGTCATTTGAAAACAAAAGCCAGCAGCTCAGATCCTGAACCTTCCCCTCCTCCTTGCCCCCCCCAACCCCCTCTGGCTGCTGACACCCACCCATCCTGCATCTTCCTGCCCTCTGCTCCCCACCCCCAAGCCTGTCTTGAAATTCCCAGGCTGGTGGTAAGAGAAAACGGCCTTGTTTTTCCAACCCTTGGCCGGCAGTCCCCGGCAGCCCCCTGGCTGGTTTCTCGGCTACCATTCAAACCGCCGACCAGGATGATGACTCAGGCTGTTGCTCTGCGGGGCCTGGGTGCTAGAAGGAGGGTGCACTTGGGGGCTTCTTAGAGAGGCAGCAAAGGGGCACTCCCTCTGCCCCTTTCTCTTTGTGAAGGGACTGGCCCTCTTTCGGCCCCCACCCCAGGGTCCAGTTTAGGGGACTCATAGATAGGCATTTCTGGGGGGTGAGCCCCTGCTGACCGGTGTGACCACGGAAACCCCACTCCTTCGTGGGCCCCGCTTCTCCCTCTCCTGCAAGACGCAGCTGGTCTGAGGCCCAGGTGACCAGTCCAGTCTCAAGATGACTCAGAGGTCAAAGGTCACCTCTATGTCTCCAGGGTCTGGCTCTCAAAGGTGCTGAGCATATTTGTCAAATGGCCAAAGGCCTGCCTCCCCAGCACTTTGGGCCAGGACACTGACTTCGGTTGTGCCCAACCCCTTCATTGCCTGTGTGACTGTGGCAAGATCCCTCTCCTCTGGCTCTCACTTTGTCCATCTGTAATGGAGACAGCACCACTTGGCCCGCTCAGTTTCACAGGGCTGCTGTGTGTGTAGCAGGGAATGACTGTGGAAACTGGCTTTATTGGAAGTAGAACGGTGATGGGGTGTGGATATATTATTTAAGCGATTTCCAGTGATCGGTCATCCATGTAGAACTTTTGGTCCTTTTTGATTCTTCCATCAGTACGTGCCCCCAAGTGGTGGCCCATAACCCTGTCGTTTTGGTCACTGTGCTGCCTGTTTACAAGTTTCTGACCCCTCCCTGGAAGAGCCAATCCTTGCCATGGCATTTGAGACGTTTTGGGATCTGGGTCCAGAGTCCTCATCTTCAGTCACTCTGGCAAATACTCTGTGACCCACAATTTGCTTTCCTTTACACCTCCCTGCTTTAATACTTTCATCTCTGCCTGGAACCTCCTTCCCACCTACCCACCACCAGTAAATTCCTTTTCAACCCTCAAGATCTAGCGCTATCACCCAAAACTTTCCTGAACCTCCATTCCCTCCACCCCCAGCAGACTCAGTCACTTCCTCCCTCTTATGTCTATCTGGGTGGAGGCTTGGGGAAGGATGTGGCATTGGTAGATACCTACTCCGTATAGGGGTGCAGCTGGGTTCAAGGGATGCTGAGATACCCTACCTCTCCTTCTTCAAAGCCCAGAGCCTGATGGGAGAGAAGGATGAGGTGATCACAATACAGCAGGAAAGAGAATGTCTAAAGGGTAGAAAAAGGATCTGGGGGACTGCCTAGGGGAGCCTAGAAGGCTTCCTGCAGGAGGTGGCACTACATGTTCGGGCTTTAAAAAAAATAGGAATTAGCTAGATCCTGGCCTGGGATCCTGTGCATGGTACAACCCTGTGAATTAGATTTTACACTTGCTTTGCAGTGAAGGAATCTGAGTCTCAAAGATTGAGTGACTCATTCAGGGTCACACTGTAAGTGGTAGAACTAGGATCTGAATCAGCATCTTTTTGGCTTAAACTCAGAGATTTGCTATTACAGGTTCCAGAGACACCCATATTCAACAGTTATGTCCAGCCCTGTATTTGCAGCATACTGTTCTAAAGCTTCAGGGGCACAGGATGGAACCTGTAGGCTTTCCACATCCCTTCCGCCCTGCCTCTGTGGGCCTTATCTTCTGCCAGGAATGCTTGTCCCTCATCACCTCCCATCTAGACTTTCTACTTCCTCCCCTTAACTTTCATCACTTCTCAACTTTCATCCATAACAGTGTATCATTTGCTTGTCTTATTCTCCTATCACCTCGATTATAACCCTTACTCTCAGGAAGCTTTTTGTGCATCTTTTTATCCACTGCTTCCCTGCCGCCACCCACCACCCCCCTAGTATCCAAGATAACAGAGCTGCCATTGATTTCACCATCTATTCCAAAGAGGTGAAGGCACTGGATTTGGAAAAGTAAAGTGGCTTGCTCAAGGTCACACAGCTGGGAAAAAACAGAACTGGGATTTAAATCAGGTCCTTTCTCCACTGTGCTTAGCACACTGCTTTGTAGGCACTTAGTAACTGCCTATTTGATGGATGTCTGACTCGTGTAGAGTGACCCAGATTTCAGCCAGAGTCTCTTATGAGTGCCTTGGGGGCTGGAAGAGGCTTGGCAGGC